GCGCAAGGGGAAGACTGTGGTGTAACGCGAGTAGTCGTCAACCACCAGCAGGAAGTAGCGCTCGTGACCCTGCCCACGGACGCGGGCGGGGCCCCACACGTCCATGTGAAGCGTCTGCAGTGGAGCCTCTGTCGAGGGGAACTGGGAGGAGTGAGGGGCAGCCCGGAGCCGCCCCTCAACACAGGGGACACAAGAAGGTCCGGGTCCCGAAGGAAGGGGAGGGAGAGACCGGGGAAGACCAGAGACAAGGACACGGGAAGCCATGCCCCGAAGACGAAGCAAGGAGGGGTGGCCAAGACGGTGGTGCCACAGGAGAGTCTCGTGAGACAAGCGGCGACACGAGCAGGGGGCAGACTCAGGACCAGACCTGGACGCAGCAGCAAACACCTGACCCGACGCAGCTACCTGGCCAGACGCAGGGACAGGAGGAGACGCAGTGGTCAGTGTGTAGAGACTCGACCCCGGCCGACGCGAGAACGTGGCCAGGTGTCGGCCTGTGCGGGCGTCCGAGCAGTGGGTCACCCGCTGACTCGCAGGAGTAAACTGGTGAACCCCCGCATCCTGGAGGTCAGCACCACTCACCAAGTTCGTCGAGAACGAGGGGAGGTACAGACCAGACAAGGTGCCCGAGGGGGCAGCCGGACACGGGAGGACAGTGGAGAAGTGAGAGAGGACTGGACCCCCAGTGGGGTCAGCCAGGGAGACTGCAACCGGCCGGCCAAGCGGCGTGAGTGTGGTGCGGTCTCGAAAGAAGGAGCGAGAAGCCCCTGAGTCAAGCGTGAAGGTGAGGGAGGCCGAAGCCGACGCAGTACCTGAGAGCGCAGCCTCACCAGTACCTGAGAGTGCAGACGCACTGGCACCTAGAGCAGCAGCCTCAGAAGTACCTAGCGTAGCAGTACCAATGCCCGGGTCGGGCGGGAAACACCGGTAACAGTCACCCTCCTCACTAATAGTCACAGCATACATGGCAGCAAGGATAGCATCAAAGTCAAGATCAAAGATAGCTACGCCAGCCCTAGACAGCTCTCCCCAACGGGGAATCTCACTGGCCTCGGGGAACTGGTGACGCCAAGCGTCCGTCAGGCGGCCAAAGCAGCGCTGAGTGGGGTGCGCACCCCCACACTGCTCACCCGCGCGGTCACCGGAACGAAGGACGTAGGTGCACGGACCAAAACCCCCACCCCGCTGACGCTGCGTGTACCACTCACGGAGCTGCTGGGGCGGGGGGATGTCCCGCGAACGCTGCTGCTGCTGCTGCTGCTGCTGCTGCTGCTGCTGCTGCTGCTGCTGACGCTGGCCACCACTAGGGCCGCTACGCTGCGGGGCACCACCCCGACCAGCTCCACCCCCTCCGCCACCGCTGCCTCCACCTCCACCACCACCGCTGCCTCCGCTCCCACCGATGCCGCCACCACCGCCGCCTCCTCCGCTGCTGCCACCGCCACCACCGCCCCCGCCACCACTCCCACCGTCACCCCCACTCCCTCCTCCGCCTCCACCGCCTCCTCTACCGCCCCCGCCAGCTCCACCCGCGCCCTTGCCCCCCTTGCCCCTGCCAGGGCGGCGTCTCCCGCTAGGGGCAGACGCCGCGCAGACCGACTCAAGACCAAGCAGGTCGGCAGCAGCAGCAGAGGCAACAGAGGGCAGCAGGGGGGAAGGAGAGCACCCCTCAAAGATGGGGGTGCGAGGGTCACCACGAGAGGCTCCTACAGCGACGATGCTCTTCTCCGCCGCCAGGAGGGACTTCTCGAGGAGGTCGACAGTGAGAGTGGTGGGACAGACCGAGAGGTAGTGGTCCCTGACTACGCGAAGGGAGTCAGGGAGGCGTGTGACTATGTAATAGAGAGTGATGTACATGGGGGGGGGGTTCTTGGCGCAGAACTCAGCAGGAAGGGCGGCGCGGTAGCGAGTGTCACTAGTGCGGAGGTGCGTAATGAGGTCAGCGACAGTGAGAAAGGCAGTAAGGTCGGGAAAGAGGTACGGTAGCATGAGGCGGCTCAGGGCAGCAGTGGCAGGGGAAGAGTAGCGCGCAACTACAGCGTCGTACAAGGTCTGAGCACTCTTGTACTGACTAAAGTGCGCGCGCTCAGTGGTAGGCAGGTGGCGACGCACAGCAAGACGTGCAGCAGCATCGCGGGTGGCCCACTGAGAGCGAACAGTGGGGTCAGCATCAGTAGCAGGGGCAGGAGAGGCGCCAGAGGTGAGGTCAAAGAGGGAAAGACCGTCCGCCCTATCGCACTGTAAGAACAGCTGCAGGTCGTCGACCCAGACCTCAAAGTCAATGGCTCGACCCTCAGCGTCAAAAGCGAGGACACTAGGGGTAGCCATGACGACGACAGACGAGCAGTGCAAGCAGTAGGGGAAGGGCACGCAGTGACAGTGGGGCTGTGCTCACCGGACAGGGCAGGTCGGGCGGCTCGGCAGTAGGGCGGCTCGGCTGCTCAGCGGCTCGGCGGCAGGGCGGCTCGGCTGCTGGGCGGCTCGGCTGTTGGGCGGCTCGGCGGCAGTGCGGCTCGGCTCCCGGGCGGCTCGGCGGCAGGGCGGCTCGGCTCCCGGGCGGCTCGGCGGCAGGGCGGCTCGGCTCCCGGGCGGCTCGGCGGCAGGGCGGCTCGGCTCCCGGCGGTTCTGCTGCTAGGCGGCTCCCGCAGGTAGGGCGGCGGTAGGGCCGCAGGTAGGGCGGCGGACGGGCCGTAGGTAGGGCGGCGGGGGGGCCGTAGGTAGGGCAGCGGGCTGGCCGCAGGTAGGGTGGCGGGCGGGCCGCAGGCAGGGCGGCGGTAGGGCCGCAAGTAGGGCGGCGGGCGGGCCGCAGTTAGGGTGGCGGGCGGGCCGCAGGTAGGGCGGCTGGCGGGCCGCAGGTAGGGCAGCGGGCGGGCCGCGACGTGAGGGCGGCGGGGCCGCTGTAGTGGGGCGGCGGGGCCGCTAGCAGAGGGCGGCGGGGCCGCGTGAGCAGGGCGGCGGGGCCGCGTGAGCAGGGCGGCGGGGCCGCGAAGCAGAGGGCGGGCGGGCCGCGACGTGAGGGCGGCTGGGCCGCTGTAGCAGGGCGGCGGGGCCGCTTAGCAGAGGGCGGCGGGGCCGCGTGAGCAGGGCGGCGGGGCCACGAAGCAGAGGGCGGCTGGGCCGCGCGAGCAGGGCGGTGGGGCCGCGAAGGAAGGGCGGCGGGGCCGCGTTAGTAGGGCGGCGAGGCCGCGAAGGAAGGGCGGCAGGGCCGCATGAGCAGAGTGGCGGGGCCGCGAAGGGAGGGCGGCGGGGCCGCGAGGGGCGACACGGAGGGTCGCTAAAAAAAAAGGAAAAACGCGCCTCGGGGCGCGCTTCGGTGGGCCCTAGAAGCAGTCCCTAGGAGGGGACCTGCTCTGATTCCATGTGAAAAGGAAGAACGAGAATGTTTGAACTATGAATGAAGTCAGTACATATGGGAAACCCTAATTGGGTTGTACCCCTTATGGGATAACCCACTATAGCCTACACAACAGCATAAGCTATATAATGTTCTGACAACAGCTCCAGCGCCAAAAGGACCACCAGAAGACGGAGCAGCACCGGCTCCTGTAGCCCCAGCAGCACCTACTCCAGCAGCACTCCCAGCTCCAGCTCCTCCAGCAGGTCCAGCACCAGTAGAACCACCAGGCCCAGCAGCTCCAGTACCTCCAGTACGAGCACCTCCGGGACCCATGGCTCCAGCACCCCCAGCAGCAGTAGAACCTCCAGCACCAGCAGCAACACCAGCTCCAGCAGCACGACTCCAACGCCAAACTGTACTAACCACCAGTAGTTAAATATTATATAATTTTAATTTCTTTTTAGTATGTATACATCTTAATATTGAACTTTATTAATTTGTGAAACGTTTTTATATCATTTTTTCATGATGTGGATTCAGTATGACAAAAAAGTCTTTATTATCATTCAAAAATGCGTATTGTTAATAAAGCTTGCAGATTCGGGAGTACTAATTTGTTAAAGGTCTTTGTTTGTAATAGAACTTCTTTTTTCACGTGTATTGGAAATATTAATATAGAACAATTAACATTATATGCTATAAAATATACAATTTGTAACATTTATTGAGTATTACGTTTTCACGCTGATCTAACTGCTTTTTTTGCTGTGAAATATTGAAAATATGTAATGGTGTTTCCTTTGCATACCTTTATATAGTGTCATGAGGATTGATTTGTGGCTGCTGCTGGTTTGAGAGGAAAAATTTGTGTGAGACCAACAGCCCCTGCACTACGCGTTATCAAAAGCGATCTAAAAAATGCTCGTCATCAAAGTTGGAGCCTTGAGGGGTCGCGAAAACCGGTTCTAAAATCCGTTGTCTGTTTTCAGATTCTGTACGCCCACGCAATTGCGCCTGTTCCTACACAATTCAGGCAAAAGCGCTTCCGACGGAACGCATTTCATCAAGTGCGACGCGAACTCGTAGGCGGCGAAACCCCTCTTGTGCTGAGCACGCAAGCACAGGAATAGGAGAACGTGAGGTACAACGCAGCAGCTTGCGCTCCTACCAAGTTGACTTAATCGTGCCTGCTAAAGGCTGGACGTTTTCCGGCTGGTAGTAACGCTTCGTGACGCTGCGACCTGCACGTGCGGCAGCTTTAGGACGCGCGGCAGTAGACAGCCCACGCTGCCTCGTGTATTATCGGCGTTGTGTCGTAGTAACTATGGCCGTCGCCACGCGCTCCTCCATGCTACTCTTCCACTGGAGGAGAAATGACAATGTCACGTTCACGCCGTCTGCCAGTGCTGGTACTAGTAGCACTAATAGCTGCTCAACCACTGCCAGTCGCCGTCGCCGCGTGGAACCACCTCCGCCGCAGCCGCCACCGACGTCGCGGCTTCTGCTTCAGGGTTCTCAACCTCCTGCTGTGCGTATCGATCACAGGTTTCAGCATTGCGTCGTGACCGTCGCGACCTTCTGGCCCCTCTCTTCGTCCAACATGGACTTTCAAAAAAGAGGAGCTTTTTTTCCACGCTTGCTGTGACCTTCTTTCATCGTCGTCATGCAGTATGATGTCTATCATAACATTTTCCATGGTTGCATCGCGCTAAACGCTGTAATCCCTTTCCGCCTGCCGCGCGGCGTCTTTTTCCCGTGCTTCGCGCTGCAGAATTCTCACCTTCGCGAGATTGGGGGGAGCCGACGCGCGCTCACCGTGATCCGCGGCGGCGGGAGTTCGCTCGGCAACAATCGCGGGTCCGTCCGCCTTTCTCGGAAAATAACACTCGCAGTGCAATTCGCTGCTTCTAGACGCCTCCTTCGGGCAGCTGCAGCTGCGGGCGTGCCTGGTCGAGTCGACTCCCCGGGTGACGCCAAGAGAAGCGACCTCTTGTGGGCTGAGGATCCTAGCAGCCTTTCAAGTACTGCTGATAGTACCTCTGCGAACAGTGGTGCGAGTATTCTGGTGCAGGGGTTGGAAGGGCGGTCGTGGGCGGAGAAAGCGCAGCACGCGCGCAAGCTGCTGGCGGGGCTGCTGGCTCTCTCCCGCCCGCACAACTTCCTGCCCTCCGTGCTGCTCGTGCTGCTCGGCGCGTTCCTCGGCGCCTCATCTACAGGCAGTGGCACTGCGACCATGAATGCTGCCACAGCCACCATCACTGCTACAGCTGCTGCTGCTACAGCCGCCACCACAGCAACAGCCGCCGCTGCAGCGAGCCTCCCCGCCCTTCCCGTGTGGCTGTCCCCGCGGGTGCTGCTGGTGGCGGCGCTATCCGGCAGCATCGCGCTGGCGTCCATGGTGGTCAACGACGTGTTTGACTGGCAGATCGGGTCCGACCGAGTCAACTCGCCTGCCAAGCCCCTCGTGTCAGGCGCCGTGCACCCTTATGATGTACGTGCAAGACAGGCGAGGGATGCAGAGGGAAGAGAGTACTACTCTTGTTCCCAGATGTCTCCCACTTTCCACTCTTTCCGAGGCGTAGCTAGCAGCAGGCTGCCTGTACGCCCGCATAGTCCATGCAGCGTTCCAGCTCTGCACACCCCATCATAAAAGGATCTACAGCTCCCTGCTCAATTTTCGTACCACCTCTCTTCTAATCCACCCTTTCTCGTTCCTGTTTTCTTTTGATTCATCCCAGGCGGAGCCAGCAGCAGGCTGTCTCTACACCCTCATAGTCCTCGCAGCCTGTCAGCTGGAGCCCTTGCCTCTCCGCATGCTGGTGGCGGGGGCGGCGGTCGGCACGTATCTCTACACTCCGTTTCTGAAGAGAATCACTCTGGTTAAGAACGTCTCAGTCGCTGCAATCATTGCGTCGTCGCTGCTTGCCGGCGCGCTTGCTGCTGGAGGTATGCTGTCCTTCCCCCCTCCTTCTCGCTCTCCACCTCTCTCACAGCATTCGATTTGTGAGACTCCGCCTGGTGGTAGCAGTGCATGCCGCTGGTCCCTATGGCTTGGTTCAGTGTGTCATCTGGCTAAATGGTTCTTTTCGTGTGTCAGTAGCTGTTGCCGCCTCCGCCACCCTCTCCACAGTCACTCCTTCACCCTTTCCCCTTCACCCTCCCCTTTCACCCATTCCTTTCTCAACCCTTCCCTTCACCCCGTCCCTTCGGCCTGTGTTCCCTACATCCCACTCTACCTTACCTGACTTATCTTGGTTTCCTGCCTTGCACCATCCCCTCTCCATCCCCCAGCCTCTTTCTCCGCCCTCTACCGCGCGTCAGGCGCCTTTCTCTTCCTCTTCCACGCGCTGCTGTATCGAGAGGTGCTTATGGACGTCGCTGACGTCACTGGTGACGCCAGCGCGGGCGTGCCGACGCTTGCGGTGCGGCTGGGGAAGCAGAGGGCGGTGATGGTGGCGTGTGGCATGCTGGTTCTGGCGCATGCTGCTGGGGTGAGTGCTGGGGTGATTTGATGTAATGTGATGCGATGGGTAGTGTGAAATGTTTTAATGCGTTCCAATGTGATGCGTTCCAATGTGATGCGTTCCAATGTGATGCGTTCCAATGTGATGCGTTCCAATGTGTTGCGTTCCAATGTGATGTGTTGCAATGTGATGTGTTGCAATGTAATGTGTTGCAATGTGATGTGTTGCAATGTGATGTGTTGCAATCTGGAGTGTTGTGATGTTGTGCAGTATCATGGCATGGCATGTGTTCTGATCTCAATGCTACAACTTGTGTAATACGAGTATGCGATGTGACTTAATATGCCATGACGTGTGTACAGTACGTGTTGTTGCTACATGATCAGCAATATATCATGGAGGAAAGCTTGTCAGAGGCATCTGTGCTTCAACTCTCATACCAATTCATCCCCCCTCCACCAAGCTGTTCCTAATAAGTTCCCTAATTTCAACACGCACCTCTGCTTCCCTCAACCCATTCCACCTCAGGCTTTCCTCGCGAGACGTTCTCCAGCCCTAGTTCTTCTCGCCTCTATCTGCCTCCTCCCTCTCTACGCACACACTCTCCCCCTCCTGTCGCTCCACAGCCATGCACATGACTCTGTACTTTCTCCTCTGGCTCATGGCCGGCCACACACACCAAGCTCTCCATTTTCCTCGACAGACTTTCGCAATGACACCCAAGCCCGTCACACCGAAGGAAATTCAATAGTACTCACTGAAATCGACCATTCATCAGGTTTGGAAGTTCGTGCGAATGTGCTGGAGAGTGCACAGCTGGGTGGGATGGAGGCATCTAAGAGGATGAGAGAGCCCAAAGACATTGAGCAGAAGAAATTGAGCCGCTTGATTGACATGTCTATGGTTTTCATTGGTGCTGCCCTTCTGGCCTTCTCAGCTGCTACAGTAGGCTTTGGAACTATCTTTGCATGATGATGGGACCCCAGGAGGAGAATATTCTCTTTTTGTAGTGTACATATTTATTTCATGCTAATGGCTCAAGGCGAGGCGTTAGTTTACGTTTTTTATCATAGGTGATGTCAGGTCATTTTGTAAATGTGCTTGATAAGGAAACTTGAAACCTGACTAATTGCATATTTTCCCGTTTTTATAGGAAGAACTAGACTGTACAATGTGTATATCCACATTGTCCATATTTGCTTGACGTGATCGCGATTCTCAATCGCGTTCAGCAACGCAAAAGGGGCGTACTTACTCTGTTATCGCGGCAACAAAAAGAAGTTTCAGAATTTGTTACATTAAGGGTTACACTTCGATCAACCAATGGGTATCCTGCTCGAGTGATTTCTAGCGCTGTCCACCTTTCCGACATGCAATTTCTTTGACCCTTGCTTTCGTGAACCGTTCCTCCCGAATGCTCCCGCATCATCCTTCAGTACCTTATTGCGTTTCATCAATTCCCATTCGCTTAATTTCCTCACCGCATTTCCCGCTCACTTGGGTACCTTTCACCCCCCCGCGCGACCGCGCTCCACAATCTTCCTCGCCTCGCAGCGGCGTGGTAGCGTCGAGCTCGCACTTCAAGTAGCCAGCCCACAGCAGCCATGGAGCCTCGTGAAGTGCCGCTTCTGTGCCGTAGCCCCCTGTTGTGCCATCTCGCCGTCGCTCTCTCTGCGAGACTATCTCGCCGCCCCTCGTTCTGCCCAACCATCGTCGGCGAATCTGCGCCCATATCTCGCCAACCACTGCCATCCACGATCGCTACCGTCACCTGCGCTGCGCCTCTCTGCCGCGCCTCTCCGCTGCGCCGATCGGTTTTCCGCTCCGCTCGCCACGATGGGCGGCTTTCCGCCGCTGCTCGCGCTGCTCGCGCTCGCCCTCATTCTCGGTCAGTCCACCCGCCGTGCCGCCCCGCCAGTCCTTTCTGTGTGCGCATGCCGGCGTGTTTTCGTCCGTCCCTTGCCTCGTTGTCCCCACCGGCCCGTCACATCACCTTCATTCTCCGCCATGCGCTCTCCGCGTCATTCAACATGCATGAGAGCGCCATTCGCATTCGCGCTGTGCCACACCAACCAGGGCGATCAGGGCAGACCGCACCAACCAACTCCCCGCCCTGCTCTGCTCCCCTCTCGCCCCTGCTCGCCCTCCCCTGCAGCCAGTGACGTCATCCGCGGGGCGTCAGGCCAAGACGTGTCCGCTACGCCGCCGCCGGCGGTGGCGACGGCGATCGCGGTGGGCAGCACTTTCACCTTCAACTTCACGGCGGCGCGCTGCACCAACCTGCCCAACACCGCCTCCTCCGCCACCGTGCAGTGGACGTCCGCCGCCGCCGCCACCGCCGGTCTCCCCGCGTGCGAGAACGTCACCTTCTTGACCGGCCCTGATTGCACCGGGGTCGTCGCGTCGTCCGCCGCCAAGCCCTCAAGGTCAGCGTGCGGCCTGTGCTATAACACCACTCTACCCACAGGCTCAAAACGAGGGTTTTTTTTTTTTTAGGCGCAACAGAATGCCATGATTCGACTAACGAGTTGGCAGTGATAAAACTGTCGCGATTTAAGCTATAATGAAATGAGACATCGTGATTAACCAGCCTTTCTTCTCTCTCGTGCTTTCTGTGCCTCCCCTCCCCTCTACAGCCCGACCACCTACACCACCCGAGCCATTCTCTCCTCTCCGTATCCACTGTCGGCTCTCTGCTACATCGGTACGCTCCTTGTTGCCCCTCCTTGTCGCCCTCCTTGGCACTACTTGCCCAGTCAGTAAAGTGCCTGTCGTTGCATGGCCTGCACGTGCAAGCAGGGCTTCGTTCATGTCGTTTTCTAAAGTGGCACTTGCCAAGGTACGGCGCTACAAGCGCTGCAGTAAGGGCATGGCCAATTGCATAGGGTTGCAGCTTTGCCACGGAAGGTATGGCGGGTTCCCTCCTCCGCCAGAGTAGCTTCACTCGCTGCCTCGTGCCCCACCAGCGAGAGTCCTCCTCTCGCTCATCTCGCACACCGGATTGACGACTCCCTCACCTCCCCTTGCTGCTCTGCCCGCGCCCCCCCTGCCCTCCCTGCATCGCGTCACGTGGCGTCATCTCATCTTGGTGGCATCAGTCGGAGACGCTCCGTGGTGGCCCACGGAGGTGGCGGCCAGGGTGGTGGTGGCGACGGCCGTGGCACTGGGCGCCTACAAGGTCGCCTTCGACCCCTCCTCGCGCTGCGCCACTGTGCCCGCCGGCACGGCCCCCGCTGGCGTGAGCACGCCTGTGAGCGTGCAGTGGGGGAGCAGCAGCAGCTTGGCGGGGGGCGGGGCGAGTGCGCCGTGCAACTTGGTGTCGTTCTTCCCGGGCACCAACTGCGACGGCGCTGTCATGCAGCACTTCTACTCCTTCTCCAGGTCAGTGCGCGTGGGTGCTGTGGAGGTGGGTGGGTGCTTGCCATACATGCTAAAAATACTTTCCGTTTAACGGATATACGCTAACTTGTACGCGCTATACGCTAAACACAAGCGAATACGCTGCACACAGGCAAATGTTTTTGGGGCAGCCCGACCGGAAAAATGTGTGCGGAAAGTTGCGGAATTGTACGACGAGCATTCTGCCGAAGTTGAAATGCACGTTCGCGATTTGTGCAAGCAGTGGTGGTGAATTGTGGACGTGAGTTCAACCGCGGTGTCGCGAATTGCGTGGTCTATATACGCTAGCACATATACTATACGCGTATATACGCTAAACGTGTAAATGGCAATTTAGGGTGGGTGATGCGTATGAGGCAAGGCAGGGCAGGGTTGGGGGACGGGGTGAGGGGAAAGAGAAGGGATGGGGGGGAATGGTGGGAGGAAGAGGATGGCATGGGTGGGGATGAACGGGGTGAAATTCGATGGGGATCGGAGAAGGTGGAAACTGCAAGGGGATGTGATGGTTATCAGTAGAGGACCACGGCTCAATATTGTGTTTTCTTCTTCTTCCCCCAAGCAGCAGCAACCCTTCGTCCATCACACCGTCATCATTGAGCCCACTCACAACAGTTCGCTGCAAATTCTGTACGCCCCTTGCTGCCTTCCGCCCCTCGCTGCCTTCCGCCCCTTGCTGCCTTTCGCCCCTTGCTGCCTTCCACCCCTTGCTGCCTTCCACCCCTCTTTCACCCATTCTGTCTACCCTGCTGCCCTTTTCCATTGAACCAACCTTGAGTCTGTCGCTGTCAGAGGGTCTGATTAGATCTTGTCTTTATGCGCGGGTGTGCAGCATCCAACACGGCGTGCAAGTATGCCACATGCCCGGCCAACTCCGTGTGTGCGGAGACAAGTGACAACAGGGGAGCCACCTGCAAGTGCGACAAGTTCTATATTGGCATCAACGGCACCTGCCAAGGTACAAGGCTGTGGATTTGTGCGGAATGTAGGGATGGTACTCACTGTGGGGCCAGTATCTTGCTCTTGTAGGGCTCTGGACGCGAAGCTTTTGAGCTCTCACTACATTCTACTGATTGTTTTCCTCTTCTTCTGATTGAACCCCCTTGTGCAGACAAGTGCAATCTCGACTGCATGGCCAATGCCCGTTGTGTGAGGGACGCGTCTGGGGCCCCGGATTGTGTGTGCAACAAGGGCTTTCAATATGCTCCTGACAGCAACACCTGCGTTGGTGAGTTGCGTGTGGTTGTGACAGAGACTTTTTAACACTGGAGTTCAATCCCTAGTTTCCACAACTGAGACAACAAACTGGACCAACAGGGTGACTTTTGAGGTGACTTTTGAGTCGACTCAAAGTGACTATTGAGGTGGCTTTTGAGTCGACTCAACGTGACTTTTGAGGTGGCTTTTGAGTCGACTCAAACTGACTTTTGAGGTGGCTTTTGAGTCGACTCAAAGTGACTTTTGACGTGGCTTTTGAGTCGACTCAAACTGACTTTTGAGGTGGCTTTTGAGTCGACTCAAAGTGACTTTTGAGGTGGCTTTTGAGTCGACTCAAAGTGACTTTTGAGGTGGCTTTTGAGTCGACTCAAAGTGACTTTTGAGGTGGCTTTTGAGTCGACTCAAAGTGACTTTTGAGGTGGCTTTTGAGTCGACTCAAAGTGACTTTTGAGGCGGCTTTTGAGTCGACTCAAAGTGACTTTTGAGGTGGCTTTTGAGTCGAATCAAAGTGACTTTTGAGGTGGCTTTTGAGTCGACCACAGGACCAACAAGGTGGAATGTGCTGATGTGCTTCATTCAAACTCTTCTCAGCCCACCTTAACGACCTGTCAAGAATGCACTTTGTGCTTCTGTTGAGCCAAGGAATGAATGACCTTTTAATGCGTTCTTTTTATGCACTCCCCTCATGGATCCTTCCCTCACACTATCCTTGCTTGTTGATTTGGCCCCTTTCTTCCGTTACAGATAAATGTACTTTTGTGGATTGTGGGCCCAACGGCAAGTGCATCAAGGATGCGAATGGAAATGCCACCTGTGCTTGCAACACTGGCTTCCAGATGCCTCCCAACAATATCACTTGCGTTGGTGAGTTGCACGCGATGGCAGAGAGATCAGAAGATTTGTCAGCTCTGCACGCACTGTATCACTTCCCTGGTTCGTTCGGGCTGCCTCTGTTTCATGTGCTCTTGCTGCAACTTGAACCTGCAGCAATGCTATGCGCCTCATTTCTCACATGTGATTATTTTCCCCTCCTACCACCCGCGTTCCTCTTCTCCTGCTAACTCCCTTGCATGGCAGACAAGTGCAAGTTGGTGACTTGCGCGGCCAACTCAGCCTGCAACAAGGATGCAAGTGGAAACACATCTTGCGATTGCATCGTGGGCTTCGAAAGGCTTTCAGGAGATGACACTTGCGTTGGTGAGTTCAATCGGCTGAGCTGCTGCACTTGCTCAGCCGTCCAGCGTGGAAATGTAACAAAGAAATATGTGGCGGATGTGGCATGTCATGATGGCCTGGGACCAAGATTTGGGGCAGTGCGATCACGTTACGTACCTGATTCCATGGCTGTCAAAGCTCTCCATACCCTTTTGTGTACTGTTGATCCCTTTTCACTGCAGATAAGTGTGCTTCAGTGAAGTGTGCGCCGAATGGCACGTGCAAGAGGGACGCATACGGAAATCCAGCCTGTAGTTGCAGCACTGGCTTCAAGCCTTCGTCTGACAAGCTCACTTGCATTGGTGAGCTCAATTGATTGGACCAGTCATTCAGACTGGCGGTCTCACAAAAATACAAAGTGGTGACCTGCACTTCAGAGTTAGGGGCGGTCACATTATGATTTGCTGGTTACTGGGAGAAAACTTCGCACTCCTTATCCCATGAATGCTTTGCAGATTCTGCGTGGCTCAGCATGAAATAGTCAGCATGATGCTCACATCACCATGTGATTTTGTTTACCCCATGGTTATCAAACCTTATCTGGCCTTCCCTTTTTTCTGTGTTCCCTCCTTTCTGTATTCTTCATCTATCCTTTCATCATCGTTCCCTCGTATCTGCATTCTTTTCATTGCAGACAACTGTGCTGCAGTGAATTGTGGGCCTGGCGGCACATGCATCAAGGATACATACGGAAATCCGTTCTGTAATTGCACCACTGGATTCAAGCAGTCTTCTAACAAGCTCGCTTGCATTGGTGCGTTGGCTGAGTGCAACAGGTTGTGTGTTGCGTCCTTAACCTGTCACCGGGAGTTGCTCGTGTTTAAGCCAGGATCTATGAGCGATTTTCCTCGTAGCACTTCACGGTTTTGCCTTCCTCTCAACCCTAAACCCTGAACTCTGAACCCTGATTATCAAAAGATTTTATGGTTGCCTTGGTATCCTTTTTGTGCAGACAACTGTGCTTCGGTGTATTGTGGGCCCGGCACGTGCGTGAAGAAGGAGAACGGAGATCCAACCTGCTCGTGCAACACGGGCTACCAGATGTCTCCGTACAGATTGTATTGCATCAGTGAGTTGGAAATGTCTCACCTTGAGGCTGCGAATCCGTTAAATCCTGTACATACTGGCAACTCCAGCTGAGCTGCTATCATCATCTCTCCCTTTATTTTTCTTTGTTCTAATGCATTCTTCCGTGCACTCACATCAGGAACGGAGTGCTACAATTTGGGGTGCGAACCAGATGGGACCTGTGTAACAAACGATGGAATAACGTCGTGGTGCAATTGGGGTAAGGATGTCTTCTAGCATTCTTTACCCCAACTAGCTCATTAGCGCTTCATTTTCTCAAGCTCTATCACCTTTTGCCTTCTATTGAAGATTCATATGAAGCTTGCCCAGTTGACGTGCTCATCCCGCCATATCTCCTTTTCTTGCTCTGATGCTCAGACTCGCCCTGTGGCACCTGTCCCTCTGGAGCCAACTGCCAGAATGTCCGAGCATACCAGAGTTTCAATGTGCTTGCGCCATACTGCCGGTGCAGTTCGGGTTATGGGATGACCTCAACTGGTTGTGTGTATGGTGAGATTCAGTCGCGCCCCTTCTGCTCTTCCTCCGTTGGTCACAAACTGCACTTTCCCGACTCTGCATTTGATGAGGGTTGACGAGGTGGAGTAGCAATGGCACATCTAAGTTAGTTTTATTTTTTATGCTGCAAATGCGTATTCCCATCATCTTGGGTCTTCTGATAACTGGAGCAGCAGCTTAAAAATGCAGCTGACAACTTGGACGCATGTCATTTTTCTACCTTCACATTCCTTCCTAGCCCCCCTTCATGCGTCTTCCTTACCGCTCCTTCCAACCAATCATTGCTCCTCTCCCCTGCTGGTTATGCCATCCATGCTCAGGTGCACCTGACCAAGTGCTTGCCAGCAGCATCACACTCATCCACGACAGTTCAGCATTAGGCAGTGCATCCAGGCCCTACACCTTCCGCTTCAAGTCCGGCTGCAATCAGTTCCCAAAGGAGGTGGCTGGGAATTACAAGACTGCGTTCGAAGTGCATAGCATAAATGGATTGGCGGGGTGTCGCCAGTGGCGAGGCTACACGACGGATGACTGCGCCTCGACCCCCTATGCCAGTGGAACCCTATACTTGCCGCCAATGACTGCATATGTAGCGTGAGTGGAAATTTGCTCTGCATTCTGCATTTGACCATATGGCATTAATACTGCATTCCAAAATCTTTTTTATTTTAGCAGATTAGTTTTATCATGTTGCCACCCTGTGCTCAATTCCCCTTTTCCATTCTACAATCCCTTATCTGTATGTTCTCTTATCAGGAACGCTACAACACCCTATCCAATCCGCTCTGTGTGGTGCAGCACATGATTCTCTTTGCTGACCGCTTCTGGTGCCTAGATTCTTGACAGGGCGTGGCGCTGTGCCAAATGTACCCCGTTGGGTTAGAGATGATTGGGCTGCTAGGGTCTGAAGGATTGCCACGCATTAACCTCATGTAGAGGGTGCTAGCTTGTTATTTGGGAGAAGGGGTTCAGGGTTTAGGGTTTAAGGTTCAAGGAGAAAAAAGAATGTACTCTTTAGAGTCAGGGCTCTCTTTTGACGGGTAAAGTACCCTAATAACCCTTGCTATGGGCCGCGTTTTGAGAGTTGCCCTGATTTTAACAATGTAATCAAATATTCACCCTGATTGAAACTGGTAAAATTAGTGTTCTTGAAATCCGACCCTGGTCAGCCAGGGTGTTACGAAAATCGCACTGAAAGAGAAAACGATGTCTTGAGCTATGAACACAATCTCAGCAGTAAAAAGCTGCCACGCACGTGTCAAAACATATTATGTGTTTATATTCATTTAGGCTGTACCGTAGTGGGGTTAGCCTCTAGGGGGTACAAACTCTTTCTCGACACCCTTCTTGTACCCCACTCTTCTTCACCTAATCATCACTTTTCCCTGATATTCTAACATGGTATCAGAGCGATTAGGTCCTTCGGGACCGTCCTACAGAGCTCTATGATGCTGTAGTCAAGCGCTACTCTCCCCCCTCTACTGCTGCCCTAGGCCGCCTCATTCTACCGTATCTCTTTCCTGAGCTGTCAGACTTCCCCACCGCCACTGATCTTATGACCCACCTTCGCTCTAGTGACACTCGCTACCGTGCTGCTCTCAAGCCGGCCTTTCTCACAGCGAACCCGCTATCGTGCTGCTCCCACTGAGCTGACGCTTGACTTGCTTGAGACTCGTCTCCTCGAGGCTGAGACTAGTGCCCGCGCCGTTGCCGCCTCCAGTAGCACCCCCTCCCCTCCTTTTTCGAGGGGTGTTCTTCCTCCCTTCTCGCGTCCTCGGTTGCCACTGCTGCTACTGTTGACTTCCTTCGTGCTGAGGAGGTCGGTGCTGCGTCTGCTCCTAGTGGAAGGCGCCGCAACGGCAAGGGAAAGGGGGGTAAGGGTGGTGGGGGTGGCGCTGGCGGGGGTGGTGGCGCTGGCGGTGGAGGGGGTGGAGGAGGTGGTGGCGGGGGTGGAGGTGGCTGGGGTGGTGGAGGCAGTGGGGGGGGCGGAGGGGGCTCGGGTGGCGGCCGAGGTGGAGGTAATAGGGGTGGAGGCTCTGGGCGGCGTCTGGGGGTGCAGCTCGTGGCGGCGGAGGCTCTGGGGGTGGACAGCAGCGGCAGCCACGCCAGCAGGAGCCTCTCTCGCCCCAGCAGCTTCGTGAGTGGCTTTACCAGCGTGGCTCCTTTAAAGGTAGTGGTCACTGCCCGTACGTCCGGCGCACAGGTCCGCGGCAAGGTGGGGCACACTGAGGCTCGATGCTTCTTCCGTCGTGAGGATGCCTATCGTGCCGAGTTCGGGGACGAGCTTGAGATCCCCAACTAGTTAGGCTTGCTCCAGAAGGGGGTAGATGTGTTTGCTATGGATTGGGACAAGATTGTTGCTAGCATGCATGCTATGTATACTGCTGCTGATTGTGTTGAGGGTGACTGTTACTCGTGTGTGCCAAGAGCGACTGGTGACGAGGTTGCTAGTCTAGGTGAATGAGAGCCTACCAGCATAGGTGCGGCTCCTGCAGAGGCTTTGTGCACCTTCATACTTGACTCAAGCGCGTCTCGCTGCTTCTTTCGCGACTGCACCACAGTCACACCGCTCACTGCACCACAGTCACACCGCTCACTGCACCTGTCCCGGTCATTCCGGCTGACCCCTCTGGGGCCCAGTCGTTGCATGTGCCTCCACTGTTCTCCCGTGTCCGACAGCCCCTTCGGGCTCCCTCTCAGGTCTCCACCTCCCCTCGTTCGCTACGAACTTGGTGAGCACCGCTGTCCTCCAGGACTAGTTGGTCACTACCACTACTCCTGGGGTGAGCTTGTGGCGATCTGTACGGACTCACGGACTGGCAACCACCTCACCACGTTCACGCGGAGATAAGGGTCTGGCCTATACACACTTACCACCGAGTCTGCACAAGTAGTTGCGTCCGGTCAGGTAGCTGTGTCTTGCACGTGTCGGGTACTCACCCATCCGTCTCTCCTCTGACACCACCATCTCGGTCACCCCTCCCTGCCGCGTCTGCGTAGCATGCACTCCCGTCTCCTTGTCTCTGGGCTCCCCAGGTCCCTGTCCCCACTCCCTCGGTCGCCTGCGCCACCGTGCCTTCCCTGCGTCGAGGGGCGGCAGTGCGCCGCTCCTCACTCCTCCTCGTTTCCCATGACCACCGCCCCTCTGCAGACTCTCCACATGGACGTGTGGGGCCCCGCCCGCGTCGGTGGACAGGACCGAGAACGCTACTTTCTGCTGGTTGTTGACGACTACACACGCAACACCACGGTCTTCCCCTTGCAGAGCAAGGTGGATGTCCGCAGTGTCTTGGTTTCTTGGATCCGCACTGTCCGTCGCCAGTTGAGCGCACGGTTCCGGCAGGACCTCCACGCCCTGCGTCTGCACTATGACAGATGTGGTGAGTTTTCATCCCGCCTCCATGAGGACCTTTGTCGTGAGGAGGGCATCGCTAGTCGTTCACGCTTCCGGCCTCTCCACAGCAGAAAGGGATTGCTGAGCGCTGCATTGGCTTGACCATGGAGGTTGCTCGCACCTCCATGATCCATGCGGCTGCTCCCCATTGTCTGTAGCCGTTTGCGGTCCGATACACCGCGCATGAGCTCAACCTGGCCCCGTGTCTCCGTGCCAGAGACCTCACCTACACTGCGTTGGACGGGGGAGGTTGGCGATGCGTCGGCGTTTCGGGTCTGGGGTTCGCATGCCCTTGTCCGCGATACTCACGCGGACAAGCTCTCTTCTCGCACTGTTCGCTGCGCCTTCCTTGGCTTTCCCACCGACGCGCTTGGCTGGCAGTTTTACCACCCAGCCACACGTCGCGTCCTGTCCTCCCAGGACGTCACCTTTGACGAGTCGGTTTGCTACTACCGTCTCTTCCCCCATAGCACTTCTCCCGTCCCCAGGTAGACCCCCTCCCCCCACAGGGTCCTGCTCCCTCAGGTGTGTCTCAGGTTGACCCGCCCCCCTTGGTTGAGCCTTAGGAGGTCTCCTCTGACACCTCTGGCCCAGCTGAGGGGGGTGACCCCACTGCTGACGACACAGCGGCCGCTCGCCGCTCACCGCGCTTGGAGACCCCTCCTGGTTTTCCGCCTCGGCTGTCTTTGCTGCCTCTGCAGCTTGCGCCTCATCTACAGGCAGTGGCACTGCGACCATGAATGCTGCCACAGCCACCATCACTGCTACAGCTGCTGGTGCTACAGCCGCCACCACAGCAACAGCCGCCGCTGCAGCGAGCCTCCCCGCCCTTCCCGTGTGGCTGTCCCCGCGGGTGCTGCTGGTGGCGGCGCTATCCGGCAGCATCGCGCTGGCGTCCATGGTGGTCAACGACGTGTTTGACTGGCAGATCGGGTCCGACCGAGTCAACTCGCCTGCCAAGCCCCTCGTGTCAGGCGCCGTGCACCCTTATGATGTACGTGCAAGACAGGCGAGGGATGCAGAGGGAAGAGAGTACTACTCTTGTTCCCAGATGTCTCCCACTTTCCACTCTTTCCGAGGCGTAGCTAGCAGCAGGCTGCCTGTACGCCCGCATAGTCCATGCAGCGTTCCAGCTCTGCACACCCCATCATAAAAGGATCTACAGCTCCCTGCTCAATTTTCGTACCACCTCTCTTCTAATCCACCCTTTCTCGTTCCTGTTTTCTTTTGATTCATCCCAGGCGGAGCCAGCAGCAGGCTGTCTCTACACCCTCATAGTCCTCGCAGCCTGTCAGCTGGAGCCCTTGCCTCTCCGCATGCTGGTGGCGGGGGCGGCGGTCGGCACGTATCTCTACACTCCGTTTCTGAAGAGAATCACTCTGGTTAAGAACGTCTCAGTCGCTGCAATCATTGCGTCGTCGTTGCTTGCCGGCGCGCTTGCTGCTGGAGGTATGCTGTCCTTCCCCCCTCCTTCTCGCTCTCCACCTCTCTCACAGCATTCGATTTGTGAGACTCCGCCTGGTGGTAGCAGTGCATGCCGCTGGTCCCTATGGCTTGGTTCAGTGTGTCATCTGGCTAAATGGTTCTTTTCGTGTGTCAGTAGCTGTTGCCGCCTCCGCCACCCTCTCCACAGTCACTCCTTCACCCTTTCCCCTTCACCCTCCCCTTTCACCCATTCCTTTCTCAACCCTTCCCTTCACCCCGTCCCTTCGGCCTGTGTTCCCTACATCCCACTCTACCTTACCTGACTTATCTTGGTTTCCTGCCTTGCACCATCCCCTCTCCATCCCCCAGCCTCTTTCTCCGCCCTCTACCGCGCGTCAGGCGCCTTTCTCTTCCTCTTCCACGCGCTGCTGTATCGAGAGGTGCTTATGGACGTCGCTGACGTCACTGGTGACGCCAGCGCGGGCGTGCCGACGCTTGCGGTGCGGCTGGGGAAGCAGAGGGCGGTGATGGTGGCGTGTGGCATGCTGGTTCTGGCGCATGCTGCTGGGGTGAGTGCTGGGGTGATTTGATGTAATGCGATGCGATGGGTAGTGTGAAATGTTTTAATGCGTTCCAATGTGATGTGTTCCAATGTGATGCGTTCCAATGTGATGCGTTCCAATGTGATGCGTTCCAATGTGTTGCGTTCCAATGTGATGTGTTGCAATGTGATGTGTTGCAATGTAATGTGTTGCAATGTGATGTGTTGCAATGTGATGTGTTGCAATCTGGAGTGTTGTGATGTTGTGCAGTATCATGGCATGGCATGTGTTCTGATCTCAATGCTACAACTTGTGTAATACGAGTATGCGATGTGACTTAATATGCCATGACGTGTGTACAGTACGTGTTGTTGCTACATGATCAGCAATATATCATGGAGGAAAGCTTGTCAGAGGCATCTGTGCTTCAACTCTCATACCAATTCATCCCCCCTCCACCAAGCTGTTCCTAATAAGTTCCCTAATTTCAATACGCACCTCTGCTTCCCTCAACCCATTCCACCTCAGGCTTTCCTCGCGAGGCGTTCTCCAGCCCTAGTTCTTCTCGCCTCTATCTGCCTCCTCCCTCTCTACGCACACACTCTCCCCCTCCTGTCGCTCCACAGCCATGCACATGACTCTGTACTTTCTCCTCTGGCTCATGGCCGGCCACACACACCAAGCTCTCCATTTTCCTCGACAGACTTTCGCAATGACACCCAAGCCCGTCACACCGAAGGAAATTCAATAGTACTCACTGAAATCGACCATTCATCAGGTTTGGAAGTCCGTGCGAATGTGCTGGAGAGTGCGCAGCTGGGTGGGATGGAGGCATCTAAGAGGATGAGAGAGCCCAAAGACATTGAGCAGAAGAAATTGAGCCGCTTGATTGACATGTCTATGGTTTTCATCGGTGCTGCCCTTCTGGCCTTCTCAGCTGCTACAGTAGGCTTTGGAACTATCTTTGCATGATGATGGGACCCCAGGAGGAGAATATTCTCTTTTTGTAGTGTACATATTTATTTCATGCTAATGGCTCAAGGCGAGGCGTTAGTTTACGTTTTTTATCATAGGTGATGTCAGGTCATTTTGTAAATGTGCTTGATAAGGAAACTTGAAACCTGACTAATTGCATATTTTCCCGTTTTTATAGGAAGAACTAGACTGTACAATGTGTATATCCACATTGTCCATATTTGCTTGACGTGATCGCGATTCTCAATCGCGTTCAGCAACGCAAAAGGGGCGTACTTACTCTGTTATCGCGGCAACAAAAAGACTTTCAGAATTTGTTACAGCAAGGGTTACACTTCGATCAACCAATGGGTATCCTGCTCGAGTGATTTCTAGCGCTGTCCACCTTTCCGACATGCAATTTCTTTGACCCTTGCTTTCGTGAACCGTTCCTCCCGAATGCTCCCGCATCATCCTTCAGTACCTTATTGCGTTTCATCAATTCCCATTCGCTTGATTTCCTCACCGCATTTCCCGCTCACTTGGGTACCTTTCACCCCCCCGCGCGACCGCGCTCCACAATCTTCCTCGCCTCGCAGCGGCGTGGTAGCGTCGAGCTCGCACTTCAAGTAGCCAGCCCACAGCAGCCATGGAGCCTCGTGAAGTGCCGCTTCTGTGCCGTAGCCCCCTGTTGTGCCATCTCGCCGTCGCTCTCTCTGCGAGACTATCTCGCCGCCCCTCGTTCTGCCCAACCATCGTCGGCGAATCTGCGCCCATATCTCGCCAACCACTGCCATCCACGATCGCTACCGTCACCTGCGCTGCGCCTCTCTGCCGCGCCTCTCCGCTGCGCCGATCGGTTTTCCGCTCCGCTCGCCACGATGGGCGGCTTTCCGCCGCTGCTCGCGCTGCTCGCGCTCGCCCTCATTCTCGGTCAGTCCACCCGCCGTGCCGCCCCGCCAGTCCTTTCTGTGTGCGCATGCCGGCGTGTTTTCGTCCGTCCCTTGCCTCGTTGTCCCCACCGGCCCGTCACATCACCTTCATTCTCCGCCATGCGCTCTCCGCGTCATTCAACATGCATGAGAGCGCCATTCGCATTCGCGCTGTGCCACACCAACCAGGGCGATCAGGGCAGACCGCACCAACCAACTCCCCGCCCTGCTCTGCTCCCCTCTCGCCCCTGCTCGCCCTCCCCTGCAGCCAGTGACGTCATCCGCGGGGCGTCAGGCCAAGACGTGTCCGCTACGCCGCCGCCGGCGGTGGCGACGGCGATCGCGGTGGGCAGCACTTTCACCTTCAACTTCACGGCGGCGCGCTGCACCAACCTGCCCACCACCGCCTCCTCCGCCACCGTGCAGTGGACGTCCGCCGCCGCCGCCACCGCCGGTCTCCCCGCGTGCGAGAACGTCACCTTCTTGACCGGCCCTGATTGCACCGGGGTCGTCGCGTCGTCCGCCGCCAAGCCCTCAAGGTCAGCGTGCGGCCTGTGCTATAACACCACTCTACCCACAGGCTCAAAACGAGGGTTTTTTTTTTTTTGGCGCAACAGAATGCCATGATTCGACTAACGAGTTGGCAGTGATAAAACTGTCGCGATTTAAGCTATAATGAAATGAGACATCGTGATTAACCAGCCTTTCTTCTCTCTCGTGCTTTCTGTGCCTCCCCTCCCCTCTACAGCCCGACCACCTACACCACCCGAGCCATTCTCTCCTCTCCGTATCCACTGTCGGCTCTCTGCTACATCGGTACGCTCCTTGTTGCCCCTCCTTGTCGCCCTCCTTGGCACTACTTGCCCAGTCAGTAAAGTGCCTGTCGTTGCATGGCCTGCACGTGCAAGCAGGGCTTCGTTCATGTCGTTTTCTAAAGTGGCACTTGCCAAGGTACGGCGCTACAAGCGCTGCAGTAAGGGCATGGCCAATTGCATAGGGTTGCAGCTTTGCCACGGAAGGTATGGCGGGTTCCCTCCTCCGCCAGAGTAGCTTCACTCGCTGCCTCGTGCCCCACCAGCGAGAGTCCTCCTCTCGCTCATCTCGCACACCGGATTGACGACTCCCTCACCTCCCCTTGCTGCTCTGCCCGCGCCCCCCCTGCCCTCCCTGCATCGCGTCACGTGGCGTCATCTCATCTTGGTGGCATCAGTCGGAGACGCTCCGTGGTGGCCCACGGAGGTGGCGGCCAGGGTGGTGGTGGCGACGGCCGTGGCACTGGGCGCCTACAAGGTCGCCTTCGACCCCTCCTCGCGCTGCGCCACTGTGCCCGCCGGCACGGCCCCCGCTGGCGTGAGCACGCCTGTGAGCGTGCAGTGGGGGAGCAGCAGCAGCTTGGCGGGGGGCGGGGCGAGTGCGCCGTGCAACTTGGTGTCGTTCTTCCCGGGCACCAACTGCGACGGCGCTGTCATGCAGCACTTCTACTCCTTCTCCAGGTCAGTGCGCGTGGGTGCTGTGGAGGTGGGTGGGTGCTTGCCATACATGCTAAAAATACTTTCCGTTTAACGGATATACGCTAACTTGTACGCGCTATACGCTAAACACAAGCGAATACGCTGCACACAGGCAAATGTTTTTGGGGCAGCCCGACCGGAAAAATGTGTGCGGAAAGTTGCGGAATTGTACGACGAGCATTCTGCCGAAGTTGAAATGCACGTTCGCGATTTGTGCAAGCAGTGGTGGTGAATTGTGGACGTGAGTTCAACCGCGGTGTCGCGAATTGCGTGGTCTATATACGCTAGCACATATACTATACGCGTATATACGCTAAACGTGTAAATGGCAATTTAGGGTGGGTGATGCGTATGAGGCAAGGCAGGGCAGGGTTGGGGGACGGGGTGAGGGGAAAGAGAAGGGATGGGGGGGAATGGTGGGAGGAAGAGGATGGCATGGGTGGGGATGAACGGGGTGAAATTCGATGGGGATCGGAGAAGGTGGAAACTGCAAGGGGATGTGATGGTTATCAGTAGAGGACCACGGCTCAATATTGTGTTTTCTTCTTCTTCCCCCAAGCAGCAGCAACCCTTCGTCCATCACACCGTCATCATTGAGCCCACTCACAACAGTTCGCTGCAAATTCTGTACGCCCCTTGCTGCCTTCCGCCCCTCGCTGCCTTCCGCCCCTTGCTGCCTTTCGCCCCTTGCTGCCTTCCACCCCTTGCTGCCTTCCACCCCTCTTTCACCCATTCTGTCTACCCTTCTGCCCTTTTCCATTGAACCAACCTTGAGTCTGTCTCTGTCAGAGGGTCTGATTAGATCTTGTCTTTATGCGCGGGTGTGCAGCGTCCAACACGGCGTGCAAGTATGCCACATGCCCGGCCAACTCCGTGTGTGCGGAGACAAGTGACAACAGGGGAGCCACCTGCAAGTGCGACAAGTTCTATATTGGCATCAACGGCACCTGCCAAGGTACAAGGCTGTGGATTTGTGCGGAATGTAGGGATGGTACTCACTGTGGGGCCAGTATCTTGCTCTTGTAGGGCTCTGGACGCGAAGCTTTTGAGCTCTCACTACATTCTACTGATTGTTTTCCTCTTCTTCTGATTGAACCCCCTTGTGCAGACAAGTGCAATCTCGACTGCATGGCCAATGCCCGTTGTGTGAGGGACGCGTCTGGGGCCCCGGATTGTGTGTGCAACAAGGGCTTTCAATATGCTCCTGACAGCAACACCTGCGTTGGTGAGTTGCGTGTGGTTGTGACAGAGACTTTTTAACACTGGAGTTCAATCCCTAGTTTCCACAACTGAGACAACAAACTGGACCAACAGGGTGACTTTTGAGGTGACTTTTGAGTCGACTCAAAGTGACTATTGAGGTGGCTTTTGAGTCGACTCAACGTGACTTTTGAGGTGGCTTTTGAGTCGACTCAAAGTGACTTTTGAGGTGGCTTTTGAGTCGACTCAAAGTGACTTTTGAGGTGGCTTTTGAGTCGACTCAAACTGACTTTTGAGGTGGCTTTTGAGTCGACTCAAAGTGACTTTTGACGTGGCTTTTGAGTCGACTCAAACTGACTTTTGAGGTGGCTTTTGAGTCGACTCAAAGTGACTTTTGAGGTGGCTTTTGAGTCGACTCAAAGTGACTTTTGAGGTGGCTTTTGAGTCGACTCAAAGTGACTTTTGAGGTGGCTTTTGAGTCGACTCAAAGTGACTTTTGAGGTGGCTTTTGAGTCGACTCAAAGTGACTTTTGAGGTGGCTTTTGAGTCGACTCAAAGTGACTTTTGAGGTGGCTTTTGAGTCGAATCAAAGTGACTTTTGAGGTGGCTTTTGAGTCGACCACAGGACCAACAAGGTGGAATGTGCTGATGTGCTTCATTCAAACTCTTCTCAGCCCACCTTAACGACCTGTCAAGAATGCACTTTGTGCTTCTGTTGAGCCAAGGAATGAATGACCTTTTAATGCGTTCTTTTTATGCACTCCCCTCATGGATCCTTCCCTCACACTATCCTTGCTTGTTGATTTGGCCCCTTTCTTCCGTTACAGATAAATGTACTTTTGTGGATTGTGGGCCCAACGGCAAGTGCATCAAGGATGCGAATGGAAATGCCACCTGTGCTTGCAACACTGGCTTCCAGATGCCTCCCAACAATATCACTTGCGTTGGTGAGTTGCACGCGATGGCAGAGAGATCAGAAGATTTGTCAGCTCTGCACGCACTGTATCACTTCCCTGGTTCGTTCGGGCTGCCTCTGTTTCATGTGCTCTTGCTGCAACTTGAACCTGCAGCAATGCTATGCGCCTCATTTCTCACATGTGATTATTTTCCCCTCCTACCACCCGCGTTCCTCTTCTCCTGCTAACTCCCTTGCATGGCAGACAAGTGCAAGTTGGTGACTTGCGCGGCCAACTCAGCCTGCAACAAGGATGCAAGTGGAAACACATCTTGCGATTGCATCGTGGGCTTCGAAAGGCTTTCAGGAGATGACACTTGCGTTGGTGAGTTCAATCGGCTGAGCTGCTGCACTTGCTCAGCCGTCCAGCGTGGAAATGTAACAAAGAAATATGTGGCGGATGTGGCATGTCATGATGGCCTGGGACCAAGATTTGGGGCAGTGCGATCACGTTACGTACCTGATTCCATGGCTGTCAAAGCTCTCCATACCCTTTTGTGTACTGTTGATCCCTTTTCACTGCAGATAAGTGTGCTTCAGTGAAGTGTGCGCCGAATGGCACGTGCAAGAGGGACGCATACGGAAATCCAGCCTGTAGTTGCAGCACTGGCTTCAAGCCTTCGTCTGACAAGCTCACTTGCATTGGTGAGCTCAATTGATTGGACCAGTCATTCAGACTGGCGGTCTCACAAAAATACAAAGTGGTGACCTGCACTTCAGAGTTAGGGGCGGTCACATTATGATTTGCTGGTTACTGGGAGAAAACTTCGCACTCCTTATCCCATGAATGCTTTGCAGATTCTGCGTGGCTCAGCATGAAATAGTCAGCATGATGCTCACATCACCATGTGATTTTGTTTACCCCATGGTTATCAAACCTTATCTGGCCTTCCCTTTTTTCTGTGTTCCCTCCTTTCTGTATTCTTCATCTATCCTTTCATCATCGTTCCCTCGTATCTGCATTCTTTTCATTGCAGACAACTGTGCTGCAGTGAATTGTGGGCCTGGCGGCACATGCATCAAGGATACATACGGAAATCCGTTCTGTAATTGCACCACTGGATTCAAGCAGTCTTCTAACAAGCTCGCTTGCATTGGTGCGTTGGCTGAGTGCAACAGGTTGTGTGTTGCGTCCTTAACCTGTCACCGGGAGTTGCTCGTGTTTAAGCCAGGATCTATGAGCGATTTTCCTCGTAGCACTTCACGGTTTTGCCTTCCTCTCAACCCTAAACCCTGAACTCTGAACCCTGATTATCAAAAGATTTTATGGTTGCCTTGGTATCCTTTTTGTGCAGACAACTGTGCTTCGGTGTATTGTGGGCCCGGCACGTGCGTGAAGAAGGAGAACGGAGATCCAACCTGCTCGTGCAACACGGGCTACCAGATGTCTCCGTACAGATTGTATTGCATCAGTGAGTTGGAAATGTCTCACCTTGAGGCTGCGAATCCGTTAAATCCTGTACATACTGGCAACTCCAGCTGAGCTGCTATCATCATCTCTCCCTTTATTTTTCTTTGTTCTAATGCATTCTTCCGTGCACTCACATCAGGAACGGAGTGCTACAATTTGGGGTGCGAACCAGATGGGACCTGTGTAACAAACGATGGAATAACGTCGTGGTGCAATTGGGGTAAGGATGTCTTCTAGCATTCTTTACCCCAACTAGCTCATTAGCGCTTCATTTTCTCAAGCTCTATCACCTTTTGCCTTCTATTGAAGATTCATATGAAGCTTGCCCAGTTGACGTGCTCATCCCGCCATATCTCCTTTTCTTGCTCTGATGCTCAGACTCGCCCTGTGGCACCTGTCCCTCTGGAGCCAACTGCCAGAATGTCCGAGCATACCAGAGTTTCAATGTGCTTGCGCCATACTGCCGGTGCAGTTCGGGTTATGGGATGACCTCAACTGGTTGTGTGTATGGTGAGATTCAGTCGCGCCCCTTCTGCTCTTCCTCCGTTGGTCACAAACTGCACTTTCCCGACTCTGCATTTGATGAGGGTTGACGAGGTGGAGTAGCAATGGCACATCTAAGTTAGTTTTATTTTTTATGCTGCAAATGCGTATTCCCATCATCTTGGGTCTTCTGATAACTGGAGCAGCAGCTTAAAAATGCAGCTGACAACTTGGACGCATGTCATTTTTCTACCTTCACATTCCTTCCTAGCCCCCCTTCATGCGTCTTCCTTACCGCTCCTTCCAACCAATCATTGCTCCTCTCCCCTGCTGGTTATGCCATCCATGCTCAGGTGCACCTGACCAAGTGCTTGCCAGCAGCATCACACTCATCCACGACAGTTCAGCATTAGGCAGTGCATCCAGGCCCTACACCTTCCGCTTCAAGTCCGGCTGCAATCAGTTCCCAAAGGAGGTGGCTGGGAATTACAAGACTGCGTTCGAAGTGCATAGCATAAATGGATTGGCGGGGTGTCGCCAGTGGCGAGGCTACACGACGGATGACTGCGCCTCGACCCCCTATGCCAGTGGAACCCTATACTTGCCGCCAATGACTGCATATGTAGCGTGAGTGGAAATTTGCTCTGCATTCTGCATTTGACCATATGGCATTAATACTGCATTCCAAAATCTTTTTTATTTTAGCAGATTAGTTTTATCATGTTGCCACCCTGTGCTCAATTCCCCTTTTCCATTCTACAATCCCTTATCTGTATGTTCTCTTATCAGGAACGCTACAACACCCTATCCAATCCGCTCTGTGTGGTGCAGCACATGATTCTCTTTGCTGACCGCTTCTGGTGCCTAGATTCTTGACAGGGCGTGGCGCTGTGCCAAATGTACCCCGTTGGGTTAGAGATGATTGGGCTGCTAGGGTCTGAAGGATTGCCACGCATTAACCTCATATAGAGGGTGCTAGCTTGTTATTTGGGAGAAGGGGTTCAGGGTTTAGGGTTTAAGGTTCAAGGAGAAAAAAGAATGTACTCTTTAGAGTCAGGGCTCTCTTTTGACGGGTAAAGTACCCTAATAACCCTTGCTATGGGCCGCGTTTTGAGAGTTGCCCTGATTTTAACAATGTAATCAAATATTCACCCTGATTGAAACTGGTAAAATTAGTGTTCTTGAAATCCGACCCTGGTCAGCCAGGGTGTTACGAAAATCGCACTGAAAGAGAAAACGATGTCTTGAGCTATGAACACAATCTCAGCAGTAAAAAGCTGCCACGCACGTGTCAAAACATATTATGTGTTTATATTCATTTAGGCTGTACCGTAGTGGGGTTAGCCTCTAGGGGGTACAAACTCTTTCTCGACACCCTTCTTGTACCCCACTCTTCTTCACCTAATCATCACTTTTCCCTGATATTCTAACATGGTATCAGAGCGATTAGGTCCTTCGGGACCGTCCTACAGAGCTCTATGATGCTGTAGTCAAGCGCTACTCTCCCCCCTCTACTGCTGCCCTAGGCCGCCTCATTCTACCGTATCTCTTTCCTGAGCTGTCAGACTTCCCCACCGCCACTGATCTTATGACCCACCTTCGCTCTAGTGACACTCGCTACCGTGCTGCTCTCAAGCCGGCCTTTCTCACAGCGAACCCGCTATCGTGCTGCTCCCACTGAGCTGACGCTTGACTTGCTTGAGACTCGTCTCCTCGAGGCTGAGACTAGTGCCCGCGCCGTTGCCGCCTCCAGTAGCACCCCCTCCCCTCCTTTTTCGAGGGGTGTTCTTCCTCCCTTCTCGCGTCCTCGGTTGCCACTGCTGCTACTGTTGACTTCCTTCGTGCTGAGGAGGTCGGTGCTGCGTCTGCTCCTAGTGGAAGGCGCCGCAACGGCAAGGGAAAGGGGGGTAAGGGTGGTGGGGGTGGCGCTGGCGGGGGTGGTGGCGCTGGCGGTGGAGGGGGTGGAGGAGGTGGTGGCGGGGGTGGAGGTGGCTGGGGTGGTGGAGGCAGTGGGGGGGGCGGAGGGGGCTCGGGTGGCGGCCGAGGTGGAGGTAATAGGGGTGGAGGCTCTGGGCGGCGTCTGGGGGTGCAGCTCGTGGCGGCGGAGGCTCTGGGGGTGGACAGCAGCGGCAGCCACGCCAGCAGGAGCCTCTCTCGCCCCAGCAGCTTCGTGAGTGGCTTTACCAGCGTGGCTCCTTTAAAGGTAGTGGTCACTGCCCGTACGTCCGGCGCACAGGTCCGCGGCAAGGTGGGGCACACTGAGGCTCGATGCTTCTTCCGTCGTGAGGATGCCTATCGTGCCGAGTTCGGGGACGAGCTTGAGATCCCCAACTAGTTAGGCTTGCTCCAGAAGGGGGTAGATGTGTTTGCTATGGATTGGGACAAGATTGTTGCTAGCATGCATGCTATGTATACTGCTGCTGATTGTGTTGAGGGTGACTGTTACTCGTGTGTGCCAAGAGCGACTGGTGACGAGGTTGCTAGTCTAGGTGAATGAGAGCCTACCAGCATAGGTGCGGCTCCTGCAGAGGCTTTGTGCACCTTCATACTTGACTCAAGCGCGTCTCGCTGCTTCTTTCGCGACTGCACCACAGTCACACCGCTCACTGCACCACAGTCACACCGCTCACTGCACCTGTCCCGGTCATTCCGGCTGACCCCTCTGGGGCCCAGTCGTTGCATGTGCCTCCACTGTTCTCCCGTGTCCGACAGCCCCTTCGGGCTCCCTCTCAGGTCTCCACCTCCCCTCGTTCGCTACGAACTTGGTGAGCACCGCTGTCCTCCAGGACTAGTTGGTCACTACCACTACTCCTGGGGTGAGCTTGTGGCGATCTGTACGGACTCACGGACTGGCAACCACCTCACCACGTTCACGCGGAGATAAGGGTCTGGCCTATACACACTTACCACCGAGTCTGCACAAGTAGTTGCGTCCGGTCAGGTAGCTGTGTCTTGCACGTGTCGGGTACTCACCCATCCGTCTCTCCTCTGACACCACCATCTCGGTCACCCCTCCCTGCCGCGTCTGCGTAGCATGCACTCCCGTCTCCTTGTCTCTGGGCTCCCCAGGTCCCTGTCCCCACTCCCTCGGTCGCCTGCGCCACCGTGCCTTCCCTGCGTCGAGGGGCGGCAGTGCGCCGCTCCTCACTCCTCCTCGTTTCCCATGACCACCGCCCCTCTGCAGACTCTCCACATGGACGTGTGGGGCCCCGCCCGCGTCGGTGGACAGGACCGAGAACGCTACTTTCTGCTGGTTGTTGACGACTACACACGCAACACCACGGTCTTCCCCTTGCAGAGCAAGGTGGATGTCCGCAGTGTCTTGGTTTCTTGGATCCGCACTGTCCGTCGCCAGTTGAGCGCACGGTTCCGGCAGGACCTCCACGCCCTGCGTCTGCACTATGACAGATGTGGTGAGTTTTCATCCCGCCTCCATGAGGACCTTTGTCGTGAGGAGGGCATCGCTAGTCGTTCACGCTTCCGGCCTCTCCACAGCAGAAAGGGATTGCTGAGCGCTGCATTGGCTTGACCATGGAGGTTGCTCGCACCTCCATGATCCATGCGGCTGCTCCCCATTGTCTGTAGCCGTTTGCGGTCCGATACACCGCGCATGAGCTCAACCTGGCCCCGTGTCTCCGTGCCAGAGACCTCACCTACACTGCGTTGGACGGGGGAGGTTGGCGATGCGTCGGCGTTTCGGGTCTGGGGTTCGCATGCCCTTGTCCGCGATACTCACGCGGACAAGCTCTCTTCTCGCACTGTTCGCTGCGCCTTCCTTGGCTTTCCCACCGACGCGCTTGGCTGGCAGTTTTACCACCCAGCCACACGTCGCGTCCTGTCCTCCCAGGACGTCACCTTTGACGAGTCGGTTTGCTACTACCGTCTCTTCCCCCATAGCACTTCTCCCGTCCCCAGGTAGACCCCCTCCCCCCACAGGGTCCTGCTCCCTCAGGTGTGTCTCAGGTTGACCCGCCCCCCTTGGTTGAGCCTTAGGAGGTCTCCTCTGACACCTCTGGCCCAGCTGAGGGGGGTGACCCTACTGCTGACGACACAGCGGCCGCTCGCCGCTCACCGCGCTTGGAGACCCCTCCTGGTTTTCCGCCTCGGCTGTCTTTGCTGCCTCTGCAGCTTGCGCCTCATCTACAGGCAGTGGCACTGCGACCATGAATGCTGCCACAGCCACCATCACTGCTACAGCTGCTGGTGCTACAGCCGCCACCACAGCAACAGCCGCCGCTGCAGCGAGCCTCCCCGCCCTTCCCGTGTGGCTGTCCCCGCGGGTGCTGCTGGTGGCGGCGCTATCCGGCAGCATCGCGCTGGCGTCCATGGTGGTCAACGACGTGTTTGACTGGCAGATCGGGTCCGACCGAGTCAACTCGCCTGCCAAGCCCCTCGTGTCAGGCGCCGTGCACCCTTATGATGTACGTGCAAGACAGGCGAGGGATGCAGAGGGAAGAGAGTACTACTCTTGTTCCCAGATGTCTCCCACTTTCCACTCTTTCCGAGGCGTAGCTAGCAGCAGGCTGCCTGTACGCCCGCATAGTCCATGCAGCGTTCCAGCTCTGCACACCCCATCATAAAAGGATCTACAGCTCCCTGCTCAATTTTCGTACCACCTCTCTTCTAATCCACCCTTTCTCGTTCCTGTTTTCTTTTGATTCATCCCAGGCGGAGCCAGCAGCAGGCTGTCTCTACACCCTCATAGTCCTCGCAGCCTGTCAGCTGGAGCCCTTGCCTCTCCGCATGCTGGTGGCGGGGCCGGCGGTCGGCACGTATCTCTACACTCCGTTTCTGAAGAGAATCACTCTGGTTAAGAACGTCTCAGTCGCTGCAATCATTGCGTCGTCGTTGCTTGCCGGCGCGCTTGCTGCTGGAGGTATGCTGTCCTTCCCCCCTCCTTCTCGCTCTCCACCTCTCTCACAGCATTCGATTTGTGAGACTCCGCCTGGTGGTAGCAGTGCATGCCGCTGGTCCCTATGGCTTGGTTCAGTGTGTCATCTGGCTAAATGGTTCTTTTCGTGTGTCAGTAGCTGTTGCCGCCTCCGCCACCCTCTCCACAGTCACTCCTTCACCCTTTCCCCTTCACCCTCCCCTTTCACCCATTCCTTTCTCAACCCTTCCCTTCACCCCGTCCCTTCGGCCTGTGTTCCCTACATCCCACTCTACCTTACCTGACTTATCTTGGTTTCCTGCCTTGCACCATCCCCTCTCCATCCCCCAGCCTCTTTCTCCGCCCTCTACCGCGCGTCAGGCGCCTTTCTCTTCCTCTTCCACGCGCTGCTGTATCGAGAGGTGCTTATGGACGTCGCTGACGTCACTGGTGACGCCAGCGCGGGCGTGCCGACGCTTGCGGTGCGGCTGGGGAAGCAGAGGGCGGTGATGGTGGCGTGTGGCATGCTGGTTCTGGCGCATGCTGCTGGGGTGAGTGCTGGGGTGATTTGATGTAATGCGATGCGATGGGTAGTGTGAAATGTTTTAATGCGTTCCAATGTGATGTGTTCCAATGTGATGCGTTCCAATGTGATGCGTTCCAATGTGATGCGTTCCAATGTGTTGCGTTCCAATGTGATGTGTTGCAATGTGATGTGTTGCAATGTAATGTGTTGCAATGTGATGTGTTGCAATGTGATGTGTTGCAATCTGGAGTGTTGTGATGTTGTGCAGTATCATGGCATGGCATGTGTTCTGATCTCAATGCTACAACTTGTGTAATACGAGTATGCGATGTGACTTAATATGCCATGACGTGTGTACAGTACGTGTTGTTGCTACATGATCAGCAATATATCATGGAGGAAAGCTTGTCAGAGGCATCTGTGCTTCAACTCTCATACCAATTCATCCCCCCTCCACCAAGCTGTTCCTAATAAGTTCCCTAATTTCAATACGCACCTCTGCTTCCCTCAACCCATTCCACCTCAGGCTTTCCTCGCGAGGCGTTCTCCAGCCCTAGTTCTTCTCGCCTCTATCTGCCTCCTCCCTCTCTACGCACACACTCTCCCCCTCCTGTCGCTCCACAGCCATGCACATGACTCTGTACTTTCTCCTCTGGCTCATGGCCGGCCACACACACCAAGCTCTCCATTTTCCTCGACAGACTTTCGCAATGACACCCAAGCCCGTCACACCGAAGGAAATTCAATAGTACTCACTGAAATCGACCATTCATCAGGTTTGGAAGTCCGTGCGAATGTGCTGGAGAGTGCGCAGCTGGGTGGGATGGAGGCATCTAAGAGGATGAGAGAGCCCAAAGACATTGAGCAGAAGAAATTGAGCCGCTTGATTGACATGTCTATGGTTTTCATCGGTGCTGCCCTTCTGGCCTTCTCAGCTGCTACAGTAGGCTTTGGAACTATCTTTGCATGATGATGGGACCCCAGGAGGAGAATATTCTCTTTTTGTAGTGTACATATTTATTTCATGCTAATGGCTCAAGGCGAGGCGTTAGTTTACGTTTTTTATCATAGGTGATGTCAGGTCATTTTGTAAATGTGCTTGATAAGGAAACTTGAAACCTGACTAATTGCATATTTTCCCGTTTTTATAGGAAGAACTAGACTGTACAATGTGTATATCCACATTGTCCATATTTGCTTGACGTGATCGCGATTCTCAATCGCGTTCAGCAACGCAAAAGGGGCGTACTTACTCTGTTATCGCGGCAACAAAAAGACTTTCAGAATTTGTTACAGCAAGGGTTACACTTCGATCAACCAATGGGTATCCTGCTCGAGTGATTTCTAGCGCTGTCCACCTTTCCGACATGCAATTTCTTTGACCCTTGCTTTCGTGAACCGTTCCTCCCGAATGCTCCCGCATCATCCTTCAGTACCTTATTGCGTTTCATCAATTCCCATTCGCTTGATTTCCTCACCGCATTTCCCGCTCACTTGGGTACCTTTCACCCCCCCGCGCGACCGCGCTCCACAATCTTCCTCGCCTCGCAGCGGCGTGGTAGCGTCGAGCTCGCACTTCAAGTAGCCAGCCCACAGCAGCCATGGAGCCTCGTGAAGTGCCGCTTCTGTGCCGTAGCCCCCTGTTGTGCCATCTCGCCGTCGCTCTCTCTGCGAGACTATCTCGCCGCCCCTCGTTCTGCCCAACCATCGTCGGCGAATCTGCGCCCATATCTCGCCAACCACTGCCATCCACGATCGCTACCGTCACCTGCGCTGCGCCTCTCTGCCGCGCCTCTCCGCTGCGCCGATCGGTTTTCCGCTCCGCTCGCCACGATGGGCGGCTTTCCGCCGCTGCTCGCGCTGCTCGCGCTCGCCCTCATTCTCGGTCAGTCCACCCGCCGTGCCGCCCCGCCAGTCCTTTCTGTGTGCGCATGCCGGCGTGTTTTCGTCCGTCCCTTGCCTCGTTGTCCCCACCGGCCCGTCACATCACCTTCATTCTCCGCCATGCGCTCTCCGCGTCATTCAACATGCATGAGAGCGCCATTCGCATTCGCGCTGTGCCACACCAACCAGGGCGATCAGGGCAGACCGCACCAACCAACTCCCCGCCCTGCTCTGCTCCCCTCTCGCCCCTGCTCGCCCTCCCCTGCAGCCAGTGACGTCATCCGCGGGGCGTCAGGCCAAGACGTGTCCGCTACGCCGCCGCCGGCGGTGGCGACGGCGATCGCGGTGGGCAGCACTTTCACCTTCAACTTCACGGCGGCGCGCTGCACCAACCTGCCCACCACCGCCTCCTCCGCCACCGTGCAGTGGACGTCCGCCGCCGCCGCCACCGCCGGTCTCCCCGCGTGCGAGAACGTCACCTTCTTGACCGGCCCTGATTGCACCGGGGTCGTCGCGTCGTCCGCCGCCAAGCCCTCAAGGTCAGCGTGCGGCCTGTGCTATAACACCACTCTACCCACAGGCTCAAAACGAGGGTTTTTTTTTTTTTTTGGCGCAACAGAATGCCATGATTCGACTAACGAGTTGGCAGTGATAAAACTGTCGCGATTTAAGCTATAATGAAATGAGACATCGTGATTAACCAGCCTTTCTTCTCTCTCGTGCTTTCTGTGCCTCCCCTCCCCTCTACAGCCCGACCACCTACACCACCCGAGCCATTCTCTCCTCTCCGTATCCACTGTCGGCTCTCTGCTACATCGGTACGCTCCTTGTTGCCCCTCCTTGTCGCCCTCCTTGGCACTACTTGCCCAGTCAGTAAAGTGCCTGTCGTTGCATGGCCTGCACGTGCAAGCAGGGCTTCGTTCATGTCGTTTTCTAAAGTGGCACTTGCCAAGGTACGGCGCTACAAGCGCTGCAGTAAGGGCATGGCCAATTGCATAGGGTTGCAGCTTTGCCACGGAAGGTATGGCGGGTTCCCTCCTCCGCCAGAGTAGCTTCACTCGCTGCCTCGTGCCCCACCAGCGAGAGTCCTCCTCTCGCTCATCTCGCACACCGGATTGACGACTCCCTCACCTCCCCTTGCTGCTCTGCCCGCGCCCCCCCTGCCCTCCCTGCATCGCGTCACGTGGCGTCATCTCATCTTGGTGGCATCAGTCGGAGACGCTCCGTGGTGGCCCACGGAGGTGGCGGCCAGGGTGGTGGTGGCGACGGCCGTGGCACTGGGCGCCTACAAGGTCGCCTTCGACCCCTCCTCGCGCTGCGCCACTGTGCCCGCCGGCACGGCCCCCGCTGGCGTGAGCACGCCTGTGAGCGTGCAGTGGGGGAGCAGCAGCAGCTTGGCGGGGGGCGGGGCGAGTGCGCCGTGCAACTTGGTGTCGTTCTTCCCGGGCACCAACTGCGACGGCGCTGTCATGCAGCACTTCTACTCCTTCTCCAGGTCAGTGCGCGTGGGTGCTGTGGAGGTGGGTGGGTGCTTGCCATACATGCTAAAAATACTTTCCGTTTAACGGATATACGCTAACTTGTACGCGCTATACGCTAAACACAAGCAAATACGCTGCACACAGGCAAATGTTTTTGGGGCAGCCCGACCGGAAAAATGTGTGCGGAAAGTTGCGGAATTGTACGACGAGCATTCTGCCGAAGTTGAAATGCACGTTCGCGATTTGTGCAAGCAGTGGTGGTGAATTGTGGACGTGAGTTCAACCGCGGTGTCGCGAATTGCGTGGTCTATATACGCTAGCACATATACTATACGCGTATATACGCTAAACGTGTAAATGGCAATTTAGGGTGGGTGATGCGTATGAGGCAAGGCAGGGCAGGGTTGGGGGACGGGGTGAGGGGAAAGAGAAGGGATGGGGGGGAATGGTGGGAGGAAGAGGATGGCATGGGTGGGGATGAACGGGGTGAAATTCGATGGGGATCGGAGAAGGTGGAAACTGCAAGGGGATGTGATGGTTATCAGTAGAGGACCACGGCTCAATATTGTGTTTTCTTCTTCTTCCCCCAAGCAGCAGCAACCCTTCGTCCATCACACCGTCATCATTGAGCCCACTCACAACAGTTCGCTGCAAATTCTGTACGCCCCTTGCTGCCTTCCGCCCCTCGCTGCCTTCCGCCCCTTGCTGCCTTTCGCCCCTTGCTGCCTTCCACCCCTTGCTGCCTTCCACCCCTCTTTCACCCATTCTGTCTACCCTTCTGCCCTTTTCCATTGAACCAACCTTGAGTCTGTCTCTGTCAGAGGGTCTGATTAGATCTTGTCTTTATGCGCGGGTGTGCAGCGTCCAACACGGCGTGCAAGTATGCCACATGCCCGGCCAACTCCGTGTGTGCGGAGACAAGTGACAACAGGGGAGCCACCTGCAAGTGCGACAAGTTCTATATTGGCATCAACGGCACCTGCCAAGGTACAAGGCTGTGGATTTGTGCGGAATGTAGGGATGGTACTCACTGTGGGGCCAGTATCTTGCTCTTGTAGGGCTCTGGACGCGAAGCTTTTGAGCTCTCACTACATTCTACTGATTGTTTTCCTCTTCTTCTGATTGAACCCCCTTGTGCAGACAAGTGCAATCTCGACTGCATGGCCAATGCCCGTTGTGTGAGGGACGCGTCTGGGGCCCCGGATTGTGTGTGCAACAAGGGCTTTCAATATGCTCCTGACAGCAACACCTGCGTTGGTGAGTTGCGTGTGGTTGTGACAGAGACTTTTTAACACTGGAGTTCAATCCCTAGTTTCCACAACTGAGACAACAAACTGGACCAACAGGGTGACTTTTGAGGTGACTTTTGAGTCGACTCAAAGTGACTATTGAGGTGGCTTTTGAGTCGACTCAACGTGACTTTTGAGGTGGCTTTTGAGTCGACTCAAAGTGACTTTTGAGGTGGCTTTTGAGTCGACTCAAAGTGACTTTTGAGGTGGCTTTTGAGTCGACTCAAACTGACTTTTGAGGTGGCTTTTGAGTCGACTCAAAGTGACTTTTGACGTGGCTTTTGAGTCGACTCAAACTGACTTTTGAGGTGGCTTTTGAGTCGACTCAAAGTGACTTTTGAGGTGGCTTTTGAGTCGACTCAAAGTGACTTTTGAGGTGGCTTTTGAGTCGACTCAAAGTGACTTTTGAGGTGGCTTTTGAGTCGACTCAAAGTGACTTTTGAGGTGGCTTTTGAGTCGACTCAAAGTGACTTTTGAGGTGGCTTTTGAGTCGACTCAAAGTGACTTTTGAGGTGGCTTTTGAGTCGAATCAAAGTGACTTTTGAGGTGGCTTTTGAGTCGACCACAGGACCAACAAGGTGGAATGTGCTGATGTGCTTCATTCAAACTCTTCTCAGCCCACCTTAACGACCTGTCAAGAATGCACTTTGTGCTTCTGTTGAGCCAAGGAATGAATGACCTTTTAATGCGTTCTTTTTATGCACTCCCCTCATGGATCCTTCCCTCACACTATCCTTGCTTGTTGATTTGGCCCCTTTCTTCCGTTACAGATAAATGTACTTTTGTGGATTGTGGGCCCAACGGCAAGTGCATCAAGGATGCGAATGGAAATGCCACCTGTGCTTGCAACACTGGCTTCCAGATGCCTCCCAACAATATCACTTGCGTTGGTGAGTTGCACGCGATGGCAGAGAGATCAGAAGATTTGTCAGCTCTGCACGCACTGTATCACTTCCCTGGTTCGTTCGGGCTGCCTCTGTTTCATGTGCTCTTGCTGCAACTTGAACCTGCAGCAATGCTATGCGCCTCATTTCTCACATGTGATTATTTTCCCCTCCTACCACCCGCGTTCCTCTTCTCCTGCTAACTCCCTTGCATGGCAGACAAGTGCAAGTTGGTGACTTGCGCGGCCAACTCAGCCTGCAACAAGGATGCAAGTGGAAACACATCTTGCGATTGCATCGTGGGCTTCGAAAGGCTTTCAGGAGATGACACTTGCGTTGGTGAGTTCAATCGGCTGAGCTGCTGCACTTGCTCAGCCGTCCAGCGTGGAAATGTAACAAAGAAATATGTGGCGGATGTGGCATGTCATGATGGCCTGGGACCAAGATTTGGGGCAGTGCGATCACGTTACGTACCTGATTCCATGGCTGTCAAAGCTCTCCATACCCTTTTGTGTACTGTTGATCCCTTTTCACTGCAGATAAGTGTGCTTCAGTGAAGTGTGCGCCGAATGGCACGTGCAAGAGGGACGCATACGGAAATCCAGCCTGTAGTTGCAGCACTGGCTTCAAGCCTTCGTCTGACAAGCTCACTTGCATTGGTGAGCTCAATTGATTGGACCAGTCATTCAGACTGGCGGTCTCACAAAAATACAAAGTGGTGACCTGCACTTCAGAGTTAGGGGCGGTCACATTATGATTTGCTGGTTACTGGGAGAAAACTTCGCACTCCTTATCCCATGAATGCTTTGCAGATTCTGCGTGGCTCAGCATGAAATAGTCAGCATGATGCTCACATCACCATGTGATTTTGTTTACCCCATGGTTATCAAACCTTATCTGGCCTTCCCTTTTTTCTGTGTTCCCTCCTTTCTGTATTCTTCATCTATCCTTTCATCATCGTTCCCTCGTATCTGCATTCTTTTCATTGCAGACAACTGTGCTGCAGTGAATTGTGGGCCTGGCGGCACATGCATCAAGGATACATACGGAAATCCGTTCTGTAATTGCACCACTGGATTCAAGCAGTCTTCTAACAAGCTCGCTTGCATTGGTGCGTTGGCTGAGTGCAACAGGTTGTGTGTTGCGTCCTTAACCTGTCACCGGGAGTTGCTCGTGTTTAAGCCAGGATCTATGAGCGATTTTCCTCGTAGCACTTCACGGTTTTGCCTTCCTCTCAACCCTAAACCCTGAACTCTGAACCCTGATTATCAAAAGATTTTATGGTTGCCTTGGTATCCTTTTTGTGCAGACAACTGTGCTTCGGTGTATTGTGGGCCCGGCACGTGCGTGAAGAAGGAGAACGGAGATCCAACCTGCTCGTGCAACACGGGCTACCAGATGTCTCCGTACAGATTGTATTGCATCAGTGAGTTGGAAATGTCTCACCTTGAGGCTGCGAATCCGTTAAATCCTGTACATACTGGCAACTCCAGCTGAGCTGCTATCATCATCTCTCCCTTTATTTTTCTTTGTTCTAATGCATTCTTCCGTGCACTCACATCAGGAACGGAGTGCTACAATTTGGGGTGCGAACCAGATGGGACCTGTGTAACAAACGATGGAATAACGTCGTGGTGCAATTGGGGTAAGGATGTCTTCTAGCATTCTTTACCCCAACTAGCTCATTAGCGCTTCATTTTCTCAAGCTCTATCACCTTTTGCCTTCTATTGAAGATTCATATGAAGCTTGCCCAGTTGACGTGCTCATCCCGCCATATCTCCTTTTCTTGCTCTGATGCTCAGACTCGCCCTGTGGCACCTGTCCCTCTGGAGCCAACTGCCAGAATGTCCGAGCATACCAGAGTTTCAATGTGCTTGCGCCATACTGCCGGTGCAGTTCGGGTTATGGGATGACCTCAACTGGTTGTGTGTATGGTGAGATTCAGTCGCGCCCCTTCTGCTCTTCCTCCGTTGGTCACAAACTGCACTTTCCCGACTCTGCATTTGATGAGGGTTGACGAGGTGGAGTAGCAATGGCACATCTAAGTTAGTTTTATTTTTTATGCTGCAAATGCGTATTCCCATCATCTTGGGTCTTCTGATAACTGGAGCAGCAGCTTAAAAATGCAGCTGACAACTTGGACGCATGTCATTTTTCTACCTTCACATTCCTTCCTAGCCCCCCTTCATGCGTCTTCCTTACCGCTCCTTCCAACCAATCATTGCTCCTCTCCCCTGCTGGTTATGCCATCCATGCTCAGGTGCACCTGACCAAGTGCTTGCCAGCAGCATCACACTCATCCACGACAGTTCAGCATTAGGCAGTGCATCCAGGCCCTACACCTTCCGCTTCAAGTCCGGCTGCAATCAGTTCCCAAAGGAGGTGGCTGGGAATTACAAGACTGCGTTCGAAGTGCATAGCATAAATGGATTGGCGGGGTGTCGCCAGTGGCGAGGCTACACGACGGATGACTGCGCCTCGACCCCCTATGCCAGTGGAACCCTATACTTGCCGCCAATGACTGCATATGTAGCGTGAGTGGAAATTTGCTCTGCATTCTGCATTTGACCATATGGCATTAATACTGCATTCCAAAATCTTTTTTATTTTAGCAGATTAGTTTTATCATGTTGCCACCCTGTGCTCAATTCCCCTTTTCCATTCTACAATCCCTTATCTGTATGTTCTCTTATCAGGAACGCTACAACACCCTATCCAATCCGCTCTGTGTGGTGCAGCACATGATTCTCTTTGCTGACCGCTTCTGGTGCCTAGATTCTTGACAGGGCGTGGCGCTGTGCCAAATGTACCCCGTTGGGTTAGAGATGATTGGGCTGCTAGGGTCTGAAGGATTGCCACGCATTAACCTCATATAGAGGGTGCTAGCTTGTTATTTGGGAGAAGGGGTTCAGGGTTTAGGGTTTAAGGTTCAAGGAGAAAAAAGAATGTACTCTTTAGAGTCAGGGCTCTCTTTTGACGGGTAAAGTACCCTAATAACCCTTGCTATGGGCCGCGTTTTGAGAGTTGCCCTGATTTTAACAATGTAATCAAATATTCACCCTGATTGAAACTGGTAAAATTAGTGTTCTTGAAATCCGACCCTGGTCAGCCAGGGTGTTACGAAAATCGCACTGAAAGAGAAAACGATGTCTTGAGCTATGAACACAATCTCAGCAGTAAAAAGCTGCCACGCACGTGTCAAAACATATTATGTGTTTATATTCATTTAGGCTGTACCGTAGTGGGGTTAGCCTCTAGGGGGTACAAACTCTTTCTCGACACCCTTCTTGTACCCCACTCTTCTTCACCTAATCATCACTTTTCCCTGATATTCTAACATGGTATCAGAGCGATTAGGTCCTTCGGGACCGTCCTACAGAGCTCTATGATGCTGTAGTCAAGCGCTACTCTCCCCCCTCTACTGCTGCCCTAGGCCGCCTCATTCTACCGTATCTCTTTCCTGAGCTGTCAGACTTCCCCACCGCCACTGATCTTATGACCCACCTTCGCTCTAGTGACACTCGCTACCGTGCTGCTCTCAAGCCGGCCTTTCTCACAGCGAACCCGCTATCGTGCTGCTCCCACTGAGCTGACGCTTGACTTGCTTGAGACTCGTCTCCTCGAGGCTGAGACTAGTGCCCGCGCCGTTGCCGCCTCCAGTAGCACCCCCTCCCCTCCTTTTTCGAGGGGTGTTCTTCCTCCCTTCTCGCGTCCTCGGTTGCCACTGCTGCTACTGTTGACTTCCTTCGTGCTGAGGAGGTCGGTGCTGCGTCTGCTCCTAGTGGAAGGCGCCGCAACGGCAAGGGAAAGGGGGGTAAGGGTGGTGGGGGTGGCGCTGGCGGGGGTGGTGGCGCTGGCGGTGGAGGGGGTGGAGGAGGTGGTGGCGGGGGTGGAGGTGGCTGGGGTGGTGGAGGCAGTGGGGGGGGCGGAGGGGGCTCGGGTGGCGGCCGAGGTGGAGGTAATAGGGGTGGAGGCTCTGGGCGGCGTCTGGGGGTGCAGCTCGTGGCGGCGGAGGCTCTGGGGGTGGACAGCAGCGGCAGCCACGCCAGCAGGAGCCTCTCTCGCCCCAGCAGCAAGAGGGTGCACCCTGATTAGCAAAAAACAAATCTAGAGCCTTGCTTAGAGTACATGGCTAGGTAGAACAAATCACTTGTATCCAATGTTGTTGACCATTTGCTATTTGCGTTTGCAATGACAAGATCTGCAACCACATGCTATTTGTATGAATTTCGCTACTGTACCATAATCGCCTTGGGCACACCACCTCCTAGGGTCTCAATTCGAATTCGTTAGAATAAAAAGGATGGTGTGTCCTTCCCTATATATGGCATCCGCTTAGAATGTAAACAAAGATATAAAAGCCAAGACTTACTTTTAGTTTTTTTGAACTCAGATTATTAGTTTTTTTGTTTTTGTTTTTTGAAACCCTAATAATCCATGTACATTGTAAAGGCTACTTTTAACCTTCAGTGCAACACTTAGTGTTTTTTTTTTTTTTTTTTTTTTTTTTTTTTTTTTTTTTTACATTTTCACCCTGAGCATACGATGTAGATTTCTTCCTACCCCGATATATCAAAGTGTCAATTTTTAGTGGGACACATTCTTTAATTAATTTTCTTGAGGCATGCTTGTATGCTAGGCAACAGTGAGGCACATAGTAGGGAGGATAGCATTTTAGGGTTTGTACTTGCACCCATCTCCCTGCTAGTCATTCTCATTCCGCTGTTCACGTTTGACATGGTATCGAGCTAGCTATGTTCTTAGCTTAGTTAGTAGGTTATGCCATGCCCATTAGCAGGCTGCGCCCTGCTCTGCCCTGCCCTGCCCCGCGCTGACGTGCTGCCTCGCGCGCTGTCACACTGCCCTGCCCCGCTCTGTCGCACTGCCCTGCGCGCTGTCGCGCTGCCCTGCCCCGCGCGCTGCCCTGCCCCATGCGTTCGCACTGCCCCGTGCGCGCTACCTTGCGCGCTGCCCTTCGCACGCCCCGCACTGCCGCGCGCGCCCCTCGTTGCCCCGCGCGCGCCGCCCCGCGCTGCCCTGCACGCGCTGCCCCGCGCGTTCTGCCCTGCGCGCGCCCTTTCGCGTCGTTCCGTGCGCCCTTTCGTGCTACTCCGCGCGCCCTTTCGCGCCGCTCCGCGCTGCCTTGAGCGCGCGAACGCAATGCTGTCACTGCCCGCAGGCTGCCACTGCCCGTGCGCCACTGCCGCCAGTGTGCCGCACCGCCGCCGCTGCCGCCCTGCGCCGCACCGCCACTGCGGCTACCCTTGTGCCGTGGCCGCCCTTGCACCGCTGCTGCTGCCCGTGCGCCGCCGCTGCCCGAGCGCCCCTGCCGCCACTGCCGCCCTTGCGCCATCGCTGCCCGCACACCGCCGCCGCTGCCACCCGTGCGCCGCACTGCTGCTGTTGCCGCCCTTGCGCCGCTGCCGCACTTGCGCCGCTGTCGCCGTTGCGCCGTTGCCGCCCTTGCGCCGCTGCCGCCCTTGCGCCGCCGCAGCTGCCAGTGTGCCGCTGCCGCCCGTGCGCCGCACTGCCGCTGCTGCCGCCCTTGCGCCACTGCTGCCCGCGCACCGCTGCCGCTGCGGGCCGCGCACCGCTGCCGCTGCTGCCCGTGCGCTGCACCGCCGCTGCTTCCGCCTCTGCGCCGCTGCTGCCCTTGTACCGCCGCAGCTGCCAATTCGCCGCACCAACGCCGCTGCCGCCCTTGCGCCATTGCCGCCCGCGCGCCGCCCGTGTGCGTCGCCCGCGCAGCACATGCCCACTGTCGCCCACCCTGCAGCTTGCGCCGCTGCACTGCCGCCTGCGCACTACCCCTGGCCAGCCCGCTGCCGCTAAGCCGCGCTCCCTACCATGGCGACTATTGCTGTACTGGCCTTTGACGCAGAAGGCCGCCCGATCGAGTATGAGTCATGGCTAGATGACCTCAATTTGTACCTGCAGAGTGTAGGACGATGTCTCGCCTTTTTAGCACATGCGGGGGTCCCTTAAGGCCCCACCCACTATGACTGTACCTGACCCTACTAGGACAGCGGATGTGCAGCAGCCGTATAGGACTGACCGCGTTGCCAGTACACAGTGGTTAGCACGCAACGCCACTGCCTAGCTTGTAGTCCGCACTCACGTCCCGCCCGACCAGAGGTCCCACTTTCGCCAGCTGAAACCGGCCAAAGTGCTCAATGTCGCTGTAATAAGTGCTACTCCTCCCCCTCTTCTGCCACCCTAGGCCGACTTGAGCTGCCGTTTCTCTTCCCTGAGCTGTCTGACTTTGCCACTGTAACCGACCTCATGACTCACCTGCGTTCCTCTGACACGCGCTACCATGTTGCTCTCAAGCCAGACTTTTGGGCTAAGAACCAGCCCCCAATGTATCTCACTCTCTACTTCCTCACGACTCGCCTCCCTCACCCTCTTCGCGCCGTTAGAGACCACTTCCTCTCCCTAGACCCCACCAAGCTCACCCTTGCCTCATTTGAGACCCGTCTCCTCAAGGCCAAGACCAGTGCCTGCGCTGTAGCTGCCTCCCGTGGTACTCCCAGCTCCTCCTTCTTTGAGGGGCGCTCCCCTTCCCTCCTCGCACCTTCTGTTGTCTCTGTTGCTGCTGTTGACTTCCTTTGTGCTGAGGAGGTCGGTGCTGCGTCTGCTCCTAGCGGGAGGCGACACGGCAGGGGTGCACATACAAGGGATGGGGGCGGTGGGGGTTGGGGAGGTGGCGGTGGCAGTAGAGGGGGTGGTGGCGGTGGCGGTGGTGGTGGTGGGGGTGGCGGAGGTGGCGGTGGTGGTGGCGGTGGAGGTGGCGGGGGTGGAGGTGGCGGAGGTGGAGGTGGCAGGGGTGCACGTACAAGGGATGGGGGTGGTGGCGGTGGCGGTGGCGGTGGTGGGGGTGGCGGAGGTGGCGGTGGCGGGGGCAGTGGGGGTGGCAGAGGGGGCTCGGGTGGCGGTCAAGGTGGAGCTGGTGGGGGTGGAGGCTCGAGTACGGCTACTTAGGGAGCGCCGTCTTGTGGAGCAGCTCGTGGAGGCAGAGGTTCTGGGAGTGGACAGCAGCAGCAGCCACGTCAGCGGGAGACTCTGTCACCATAGCAGCTTCGTGAGTGGGCTGCCCAGCGAGGCTCCTCCGGTGGCAGTGGTCGCTGCCAGTACGTCCAGCGCACGGGTCCCCGCCCCGGGAAGGTCTGCGGCAGGCTGGGGCACACTGAGGCTCGCTGCTTCTACCGCCTCGAGGACGCTTCTTGAGTGGAGTTTGGTGAGCAGGCCAGGTTTCCTAACTGGTTAGGATTGCTTAAGAAGGGCGTAGATATATTTTCTCTTGATTGAGACCAGATCTCTGTCACAATAGATATATTTAGTATAATCTGCCTGTAGTGTAGCTGTTGTGTAATTCCCTTGTGTGGTGGTGCACCTCTTTCACCTTTGTTAGGTTGCTATATGTACTCGTGTGCTATAGTGAACCTCCAACCATTTTCAATTCTCCTTGGCACAAACTACTCGACACCCGCTTGGCCTAGGCTACTAAGCCTAGGCCCTTAGTTAAACCCGTTCC